AATGCTACGAGGTTGTCTATAACAATAATATTGAGTCGAGAACGAAAATTTGTTTAATGGGAATTATATAAACTATATATAATGTATTTTCCCCTTGTAAATTGATGCATATATGACCTTTATATTGTATATTACTTAATGAAGGGGAAAAAAATCTCTTAAATTGTTTAATTAATGCAGAATAAGTCGCCATGATGAATGAACACGGTGGTGACTGTATTAAGCTCTTGGGAGGCTCAACCTTCACCAATCATCGAGTACTAAAATGAATATAAACTATAACACATTTATAAATAAACGTTAGATTATATTTACCCCAAGCCTAGTATACAATACTGGTTTTCGAAGTGTTGGCCCTGCAGGCCAGGCTAGTGTCCCACGCTTCTCTAACCTTCCCTACGGAATGTCCAGAGGAATAGGACGATTAGGGGATAGGGGTAGACAAATTGGCCAGCAATAGGCCCAGGAAGTTTTGTGTCTACTAAACATCGTCAGTGGCTGGCTGGCTGGCTGGCTGTTGTACTAGCTAGTTGTTGAAATGGCTGACATGTTTTCCTTCAATCTCGACGGGTATTTGATCCTGGACCATAATAAAGAAACGTGGGTAATAAAGAGCAGTGCGTGACCGGATGCCTGTAATTGTCTTGTCGCCTCTTTACTGCTATTTTATGGCTTAGGGGGATATGGGGGAGGATGGAGAGTGGTTTGAGAGACTAACTGTGGTTGATGTAATCACTATGTCTAAGATCGTTATCTTTGTTAGTTTTTTTTTTTAGTTTAGTCATTTGTTATGCACCCAATCCCCATCCCGGAGCCAGTGGTGAGAAGAGTTACAGAAGCACGTAATGAGTTCAGGAATATATTTGTGAGCAAACAAATATCAAGAATACTAATGTCAACAAATGCAAATTAACAAAATTGAAAATGGGAAGATTGAGCACTTTCAGTAATTTACATAAACACTGTCAGTCATAGATGTGACCTTGGCACTTATTATGTAAATAACCGAAAGAGCTCCCTAGTTGTTCCTAGATGCAAACCCTGATCTGAAACTCTTCCTGGACAGATGTAATGAAATCCATAATCACCACACCAAAAATAAATATCCCTTTGATAACCCCAGAGTCAAAATAAATCTGTATAAACACACTACAAATAAAGGGACCTAGTCTATGGAACTCACTCCCTAACAAACTAAAAAGATGTCCAACCTTCGCCTTATTCAAAAGTAACACCAAGAAGTACCTACTTTCATCCTCATAGTTTTTTACCTAGTGCTTCACAGTCACAGTGTATCGTGTGCCACCCCAACACATGTGCCTAAGCCATAGGCACATGTGTTGTTACAACTTCACCGTTGTAATCACTTGCCATCATCTTATATCATGGTTGTTATGTCGAACGCAAATTTATTTCTATAATGTACCTGGAAATAATCCTCAAAATTATGCTACAAATGTTCCTGTCGATAATCCTCAAATTTGACTAAAATGTACCTACTAATTTTCTTTAAATTGTTTTACAATGTTACTCTTATCTTTTTTTCAATTTTGCTACAAATTACCTACTTAAAATTATTTGTTAGATTAAGGACCTGCCAGAAACGCTGTGCGTGTTAGTGCCTTTACAAGAATGTAAAAACATCAATGCTATGTACTCTCATAAACCCAATGTACCTTCTTGTATAAATAAATAAATAAATAAAGTTCATTCGATTTTCCCAGATACAACATGGTTCATTTATATATATATATATATATATATATATATATATATATATATATATATATATATATATATATATATATATATATATATATATATATATATATATATATATATATATATATATATATATATATTTGTATTTCTTATTTTATATCTCCTCTACCCCTCTCTCTATGTCACATAAGAACACATTAATAAAAAACATTTTAAGCACTCCACCCTATGATGATTCCCTTCAGGTGTTAAGTGGAGCTTAATCTTAGACCTGAATCATTTCTGAACACTACGCCATTGCTGGCGTAAACCTAAATAAACACAACTCAACCCCACCTAACCCAACCTGACACAACCTAACTCAACCCAACAAAACCTATCCTAACACAGCAGAGATACAATTTATATTTAGGTGTGACAACTGTCTGCACTATGCACAAGGTGTGTGACACTACAAAGTGACGCCGTCAGAGCAGGCGTGCTGGGAGGGTGCTGTTATCACCTGTTTATACGGCTTGTCTACCTCCATATAGTTCTCTCTGCCACAACTGCCAAGTACTTACCTCTTTCATTCCTCTTCCTCTCTCACTCCTGTCCCTCCTCACTCTCCTGCCGCACCTCACTACCCTACCGCAAATCACACAACCTGTCCCCTTACAAAGAACGTCGCATATCGTATGCGTTACGTTAAGGTCAAAAACTGTCGTATTAGAAAATAGAAGCGGCTGGAGAAAGTGACGTACTGTCCCGTTTTCTGTTTTGGGTCCTCTGGTAGATTAGGAGAGGACACTTTAATTTGACCGTTTTCTTGACGTTGGGAAACCTCACCTCACTCTCCAACCTCACCTCACTCTCCAACCTCACCTCACTCTCCAACCTCACCTCACTCTCCAACCTCACCTCACTCTCCAACCTCACCTCACCTCACTCTTCAGCCGTACCTCACTCTCTAGTCGTACCTAACTCTCCAGCCGCACCTCACTCTCCATCATAGATCGTAACGTAATTCCCAACCCGTGATCACCTCACCTCCCCCCCCCCCCATCCCACGTCATCGGCGGGAGGGAGATTACCCGAGATAAGCGGGAAGTAATCAAGAGATAAGGCGGGATTAATGGAGACAGTTGTGAGACTTAAATGGAAATGACTGCTGCCTCCTCCTCATCTTCCTGTTGCAGCTTCTGCTGCTGATGATGATGATGGTTCATTACCTCCTGCTCCTCCCCATTCTCTTGTTAATTCATGCATTGTTAGAGATGATCAAAACATGTACGAAACTACTGGATAGAGTAGTTGCAAGAGATAGAGTAGACAGGGAGCAAATGACTATGTGCACTGGGAATGAGAACACAGAATAATGAGGCACAGATGGAAAACTGGGCGGAATGTTTTTTTCAGTGTTAGAGGTCGTAAGCATGTGGGATACATCAGTAGGAACGCAGTGAAGCCAAACACTATCCATGAATACAACGGATACTATGGATAGATGATGACGCGAGGCTTCAGGCGATGGAGTTCCAAGAGCGGTGGAGATTCTATACTAAACACCTCTGCCACCAGGGCGAGTCTCGGTACAAATGTGACCTTTAAACCTTAAGAACTATCAACACAACACCAAAAGTAAATACAAACAGGTTCTGCAGAGTATAAGCAAAAGCATCTGGAGGGCACTGAAGCTACAACCACTGCACCCGCTTCTACCCATGGCAGCCATTTTTGACCGGATATAAATACGAGCTGCGTCGTATGGGCCAACGGGCCTACTGCAGTTATCTTTGTTATCATCTTTAGTTTATATGTCATTATACTGGTCCCGTTACTCGGGTTGCGACGGGTGAGAACCGCCGTTCGCATCAACAGCGTCAATGTAATCGTCATTATCATTATGTTGTCAAAATTGTCAACATTTATCATTATTAAAGCAATTCGGCATCGTTTTCTATGTTTGTTGAAAATAAGGAGGTTGGAGTCTGAACCCTGTTTGCTGGTAGAGGGTTGTCTGCTCTACTGCTGTATTGTGAGTGTTTGCTGGTAGAGGGTTGTCTGCTCTACTGCTGTATTGCAAGTGCCGCTGGTGGAGGGTTGTTTGCTCTGCTGTACTAGGTGCCTTCTGGGTAATTGTTGTAACGGATCCTCTACTGGCGATAACTACAGTAGTTCAGCATTGTTAAAATCCCATATGCTGGCCTGCTTCATGAAGCTTGCAAGCTCATCGTGAAGCTTGACGACTCATCATGAAGCTTGACGACTCATCGTGTTATGTTCATTGTGTGTTTTCTTAGTAAAACACATAAATGCAATTTGGTGTTATTTACAAGAATAATGAAGAGCATATCTGCTAACAACTACAGTTTGTTGTTACCATTACTTATACGTATTAATTTATTTTATAATGAATGTTACAATTTCATAATTTTTGTACTAGTACACACGTGGATTTCGTTTTTTAATGTACTATTACAAACGTGGATTTCGTTATATCAGAATTTGAACCTAAAAGAAGAAATAAAAGGTTGGGATCCACTTTACTAGAGCGTTCCACTCAGTCTATCCTCAAATGCAACACATCTTCCAACGCCTATCAATTCTTGCTCAAGAAGCCTAACGCACGAATCTGCAATTTAAGAATTGACGTTTCGGTCCGTCCTGGACCGTTATCAAGACCATTAAAAATGACTTGATAACGGTCCAGGACTGACCAAAACGTCGTTAATTCTTCAATTTCAGATTTATGGGTTCAGTGTGTAATTTTCAACCACTGTGACTTAGTGTCTTTTTGATCAAGGTTCATGGAGTGTATTTATGGGGGGGGGGGGTTTACGGGGGACAGCACGCTGGACTTGTGATCCTGTGGTCCCGGGTTCGATCCCGGGCGCCGGCGAGAAACAATGGGCAGAGTTTCTTTCACCCTATGCCCCTGTTACCTAGCAGTAAAATAGGCACCTGGGTGTTAGTCAGCTGTCACGGGCTGCTTCCTGGGGGTGGAGGCCTGGTCGAGGACCGGGCCGCGGGGACACTAAAGCCCCGAAATCCTCTCAAGATAACGTTGTGATGAAGTCAGTTTTTTGTATGATACTAATCTTATTATTCTAGGATATTGTTATGATATATTTTTGGGTGTTAATCCAACGCGAAATAATTCTTTGCAATATAAATATATCTTTACAACAGTCTTAATATTCCCGATAAAGCTTCGCTGTTATACAGCCGTGTTTGTTTGTTTGTTTGTTGATGTTATGGGTAATTCTTGATTGTATTTTTTTGTTTTTGTTTTACAGATGTTTGTTACTGTGGCGGTGTTGAGTCTGGTGGTGTCCTGCGCTCTGGGGGACCCAAGCATTCAGGTAAGATGGCTTGGTGTGAACTTTTGGACAAAACTGCGTCTGTCAGTGTTATTAGGGATCCTAGAACTAGGGGGGTACACGGGAGACATCTCCCGTCACGTAGGGTGCAGTCGCACCTCCACAGATCTACAGTAATAGCTCTTGATACTGGGAATGGTTCAAAAGGGCCACCACTTATGAGTTATTCATGCCCGTGCCACCTTTTGGGTGGCTTAATCTTCATCAATCAATCAATCTAGGGGGAGGGGGTAGGATAGGTTGCCACTTTTACTATCTTTACTCTCCATGTTGCTTTTCACTCTCTTTGCGGACCTTGATTGATTTATTTATGACTGAAGTCTCCCATTACATGTAACTTCCTAGTTTGTGGGAGGTTTCAGGACGGTGCAGTAAACCACTTCTCATTCTTGTCTGTAAGACTTGCACACACACACACCTCACCCTGTGTTATTATCCAGTTAGTTTCTTTAGAACATGACCCGCTAATCACCTTACAACCAGGTCACACAATTATTGCTGGGTGAAAATGGGCTCCAACAATTGAGGTTTGAACCCGGGCTATGTGTGTGTTTTTCTGTGTATGTGCCCTTGTATATATTTGCATATTCACACACCTCGCCCGCAAGACAGGAAGAGCCGTGGACAGTCATTATAAACTCACTATATCCTTAAGTAAGTCCAGCCTTTACCTTGTCCCCATTCTCCTACACAGAGAGGACGGAGGTTAGGAGGGGGGGGGGAGGATTCGAGAGAGCGTTCCTATTTTTGGAAACAGGAAAAGTATGTTAGGCTTATCGAGATAAGCTTGACGCGGTCTAACGCCCGAGTGGACAGCGCTCGGGATTTGTATTCCTTAGGTTCCGGATTCGAACCCGGAACCATCACATTTAGTGATGTTGGACTCTGAAACAATTGGGCATAGTTTCTTTCACCCTGATGGCCCTGTTCACCTAGCAGTAAATAGGTACCTGGGAGCTAGACAGCTGCTGTGTGCTGCTTCCTGGGGATGTGTAACGAGGACTGGTTGAGGATCGGGCCGCGGGGACAGTAAGCCCAGAAATCATCTCAAGATAACCTCAAGATATACCCTCTCGGCCTTTCCCAGAATCCAACCCACGGCAGTTGCCTAACTCCCGGGTACTTATGGTGGTTATTGACTAATAAGGTAAATAGATTCATCAGGTGCAAGGAAACGTGCCCAAGAGTGTGTGCCGGGCTAGGGGAGTCAACCCCCGAACCTTCCGGTAGTGTGTCGAGGGTGTCACTGTAGCTCGCCTCTTGTGTACGAAGCACATTCTTTCTCTTTGCGAGTAAATGAAAGAGAAAACTATGTACAGCATCTAGAGAAGTGCTTTAGAAACTTGAAACAGTACGACGTTTGCCAGGAACTTGAAACACCTTTCTGTAATTAGCTGGCAGCGCTTATGGCAAGCTCTGCCATAACTGCCAATGTTTTCTGGTTGGATTCGGTCTCTCAATCTTGCCTGTAGAATATTTTGTTTGTTTACTAACTTATTCTTTGTCGCCAGCTGTGGGTGGTGGATGCGCCCAAGGAGAGCCCGGCGGTGGAGAAACTGGCGGACGTTGGCTACATCGATGTCTGGAGCAGCAACTCCACCCACGCCCAGGTAGGACATTGCTCCCTCCCCAGTTTACACGCTTACCGGCATTGCTCACTCAGTTTACATGACTATTAGGATTACATTAAATTTACAAGCCAACTGTGATTACACACAAATTTACAAGCCGCAGGCTGTGTTGGGTGTGCGGTACCACTCGCTCTCAGTCTGCTGGTGGATATGATACTGAGCAGGAGTTAGAATAATGATGAATGTGCAGTTTGAATGTTGACCAGACCACACACACTAGAAGGTGAAGGGACGACGACGTTTCGGTCCGTCCTGGGCCATTCTCAAGTCGATTGTCGACTTGAGAATGACTTGAGAATCGGCTTGAGAATGGTCCAGGACGGACCGAAACGTCGTCGTCCCTTCACCTTCTAGTGTGTGGTCTGGTCAACATTCTTCAGCCACGTTATTGTGACTCATCGCCTATTGCAGTTTGACTCTCCTAGCTGTGTTAGCTGGGACAGTGTTAGCTAAGACCGTGTTAACCGGTCTTAAGCCCCCTGTTACCTGGGGGCTGTGTTAATCTGCTGAATTGACTAGAACTGTGTTAACTGGGACTGTGAGATTGTTGTGCTCTCTGGGGACGAATACCAGGTGTGTCATGTTGTCATGTCAACGGATGTGACGGTGGCCGGGGGGGGGGGGAACTTCCCCAGGTGTGAAAGTATAACAGGCTCCATCACAGAGATGCTGCTGTGAATTCTGAAGAGGCTGTGAATTTGATAACAGGTGAATGTTAGAGAGGGAAAGTGTAGAGCTGTATAAGACTTGATTAAAGTTGTGCTTATGCTATGTTGTGCAAATGATCTGTTATAAGAATATGATGTTGGTTGGTGAGAATATTATGTTGCATGACTTGTGTGTGTATATTTGGTGTTGCACTAAAATAGTTTAGCCATTAATGATGGCATTTCAATTGTTGCAGAGTCTAGTGAACCTCGCAGACGCTTGCATGTCAGTCTCACGAATGAAACAATTATTTCGTGGTGTTGGGACCTTTGCAGATTCTGGTTGAGCCGGAAGTGATGCCGTTGGTGCAGCAGTTGCTGGAGGAGTCCCAGATCAACTACTGGGTAGAGGTGGAGGACGTGATGAGTCTGGTGCAGCAGGAGCGCCAGTTCATGAAGGAGGTGAAGGAGAGAACCAGGCGTACCAGAGCAGGTAACTTTATGCACTCTAATGGTGCATAAATTATATACTCACACGCACGCACGCACGCACACACACACACACACACACACACACACACACACACACACACACACACACACACACACACACACATAGAGCCCAATAGGCTCAGGAATCTGTACACCTGTTGATTGACGGTTGAGAGGCGGGACCAAAGAGCCAGAGCTCAACCCCCCAACACAACTAGGTGAGTACACACACACACACACACACACACACACACACACACACACACACACACACACACACACACACACACACACACAGAACGAGGTAAGACCATACAATTATAAGCAGATATATACATAAATATCCCCCAAGGGGTAACAGACAACCCACAGACTGAGAGGAAAGCTGCTAGTACTATGGACAGATTGTTTGGGAAACACTTTACTCGAGAAGAAAATAAGCTATATGGAGAGCAGGGATATTCAAGGCACTTCCTGGTGCTACATATCACGAATGAAACAAGAAATGACGCTCAAACAGTTAGACTACCGACCAGGTCTTCAGAGTGAGATGGACATGAAGAGTTTTGGATACGAAATGTCAATAGGAAGAAGTGACCACTGTACTGGTTATGAAAGACACTAGAAGAAGAATGGGAGGGATAGCATATCATAAAGAGGAATACCAGGGGGGGGGGAAAGATCGAAGACTTCCTAGCAAGAATAACACGGGAAAGAGAAGTCTTAAGTGAAGTCATCATAAGATAGCATGGACTATATAGTGAGCAAATTCAAAGATGCAAAAGGAATATTCATACCACAACTTTAAGAGTCTTTGACAAGCAGAGCCTGGAGTTAAAGAAGAAAAAAAGCTTGGAAGAAACACAGAGAGCACAGAACCAAATCAAATACATAAAAAGAATGAGGAACAAGTGCACAGAAATTACGAGAGTGGTAAAGAATGTCATAGAATCCAAAGCAGAGGACCAGCAAGTGGGGGACCCTCGATTTCCCATCCTTGTCAAGTCCATTAAATGTGTTGGCTCTCAGGTAAATTCAGGTAAACTGCCCTGTAGCCACATCAGGAGAAGGATATCTGTATCTAGGTGGTCATTAGAGCCCTAACAGACGCCCTCACAAGGAAGACTCACCAAAATGAAGTGATATCACAGGTAAAGAAACTACGAGAGAAACTTGATGTAATGAAAGCTATTGTGGCCTGACAAAGTATCCCCTTGGTTATTAAAAGAGGCAGTGGAAGCCCTGTGTAGACTCACTGCTATAGTATTCAACTCCTCGCTCTAAAAGGAAGAGCTTGTACAATGTTTAAAAGTAGCTAATGTGGTGCCATTGTACAATAAAGGGGGAAGGGGGGGCAGACAACGACCATTGAACTACAGCCCAATATTAACTAATATTAATAACAAGCGTCTACAACAAGTTACTAGAGAGGTTGAACTTAAGCAGGCTTGTAGAATAATTAGAACAGCTGAAGTTTGTCTCCAAACACATCAATCCTGTTTCAAATATATGTTTACATCCTATCCAATAACATTTCTTCCTTCATAGCAGTGTTTGTAGATGATGCAAAAATGATGAGTAGAAAAAATGAGGACAGATACCTTTCATTGGGTCCTGTAGCACATGGTTCAAGCTTCATTTGGGGCAGAATTGTTTGGGCATATTTCTTGTCACCTAATGGTGCTCTTCACCTAGCAGTAAAATAGGTACCCGGAAGTTAGGCAACAGTTGTGGGTTGTATCCTGGGAAGGTCGATAACTCTAATTAGAGGCTTCCTATCCCCGACAAAATGGATCTTGATAGACAGCAGAGATAGTCTGATAAATGAATACTGGACGTTAACCGAGCCAAAATGCAAATTATTAAGTAGGAATAGAGCAATATATATGAAGGGAAGACAGATTTCTACATCTGAAAATGAGAGAGACCCTAATTTCAATGCAGATTCCGACAAGATTAGAATAACGTCAGTGGCATATGACAAACTGGCCAATTTAACTTTCAGAAATTTTGACAAAGGAGCCTTCCAGGTCGTATATACAACCAGTGGAAGACCAACTTTTGATTATATAATGCTCGCATGGAACCCTTACCTAAATTGCCTAACACTAAACAAGGTCCAAAGATATGCTATAATGCTCATTCCTGAGCTGACGGGCCTGAGCTATAAGGAAAACTGGGGAAACTAGACCTCGCTCCACTGGAGGAGAGTAGGAATAGAAGAAACATAAAAATGACATATATGATTCTAAGGGGAATTGATAAAGTGGAGAGAGAGAGAGAGACGCAATAGTCAAAGCTTGGAACTGCAGAAGGGGGCATACGTGGGAACTAAACATAAGTGAGTCACTGGTGCATCTAGTGATGGATGTATTAAACATGACAGGAATTAGGCACTAAACAATGCACTGCTTACTGAAAGACTGTAATTTACTTGTACTGAACATAAGAATAAAGGTAACTGCAGAATTTATATCCATTCTATAGTTCGGCGACCAAAACTGAACTGCATAATCTAAATGGGGCCTAACCAGAGCAAGATATAGCTGAAGAACCACACCAAGTGTCTTGTTACTAACGCTTCGATTAATAAATCCCAGTGTCCTATTTGCCCTATTACGAACATTCACGCATTGATTATTTTGTTTTAAATTCTTACTAATCATAACTTCCAGATCCCTTTCGCAATCCGACTTCGCAATCTCAATACCATCAAGCTCGTATCTTGTAACTATCATCATTATTTAGCCTCAGAACTTTACACTGATAGGTTATTTATATTGTTATCACATTTATGATACTGAGATGACACGGAACTGTCGACAGCACAACAGATGGACTGGAATACGTACCACAATATGGACGACATCGAAGGGTTCATAGGCTGGGTGAACGCTACACAAGGCAACTTGGTGCGGGTGCTGCCGGCGGCCACCACGGCGGAGGGCAGACGCGTCCTGGTGGTTAAGCTCACGGACCCCAACTCCCCAGGACCCAAGAAGAAGATCTGGATCGAAGGAGGTAAGAAAACCCAATGATAGTTATCGCCTTTACACCACCGGCGGCAACAACAGTTAACACATTTAACAATAATCATAAAAACTAATATAAATAATTATGTAATAATATTTAATTTATTACCATTATGTAGGATTTAATTACAGTTTAATCAAATACTGTAATAGGTATTTATGTATGTTTATGAAGCCATTCATCATGGGCAGGATTTCGAGAGGCAGCCTCGTGCAAGTGCTGAAGGCAGGTACCAGCGAAGAGGCCGATCAGGTCCCGTTAAAAGACCTCAACTTCCCAGAACGAAAAGAAGATCTCGATTTCTGTATTTTTATATTCGATTCTAATGTTATGTGTTGCTTCAGGTATCCATGCTCGTGAATGGATCTCTCCAGCCGTCTCCACATACATCTTGAACCTGCTAGTTACGGACGAGTCTTGGAGAGACCTGCTGAAGGTGACGGAGTGGTACATCGTCCCTGTGGCCAACCCGGATGGCTATCAGTACACCTTCACCTCTGACAGAGCCAGGTACGCCAGTCCACTGCGTCATGATGCGGCATTAACCACACCACACTCTGCAGTGTGACCTGCATGTTACTTCACATATATCTCCCTGTAATGCCACATTACAGGCAGTAGCACCACCCTACTATGTACTTACTGCAGTGCAGGTTATATCACTTAATATTTTGTGTACAGCACAGGGCTGAATAGTTACTGCTAGACACTGCAAACACATCTAGGCGAGTATATGAACACTACACACACGACATATAAAGAACTCATGTAAAACATGTGACCTAAGGAATACATTAACATAACAATATATTAAACAAGATATATTTGCAAATCTAAGGGTTTTCAATCATGGAAAATACAAAATACTTTCCTCACATTCGCAGAAGTGATCTGCTTTTCTACTTCAAAAAGAGAAATAGCCTATTTCAATAGCCTATTTATGGTATATATCTTCATTTTAGATTATGGAGAAAGAACCGCCGGGACAACGGTTCCCCTGATGGGCGCTGCAAAGGAGTGGACCTGAACCGTAACTGGAACCTGAAATGGGGCGTGGGTGCGTCCAAAAATCCATGTAGTGAAACCTACAGAGGCGACTCTCCCTTCAGTGAACCCGAGACCCGAGGACTTCAGGCCATGATGAAAGAGGTGGGAGACATAGACCTCTTCATCACTTTTCACAGCTTTGGCCAGACAATCCTCTATCCTTGGGGGTGGACTCGCAACCCTCCAGCCAACGTCAAGCAACTCAAGAACCTGGCAAAGAAGTTTGCTGATACTGTGAGAGAAATGTCCCGCGGAGAAACTGAGTATGAGATTGGTGGATCAGGACCATTGTACGGTCTCGCCTCAGGAGCCACCGACGACTGGGCGTATGGGGCATTGGGTGTTCCCTACTCTTATACTATTGAGCTGCCGGATCAGGGGCAATATCAATTCCTGCTGCCGGAGAGTCGTATCAGCAGCACTGTGGTAGAGACAGCTGCAGGTATAAAGTGCATGATCGGCTCTCTCACCAACACTGGGTTCTGTGCCGCACGCAGAGTTAGGCGACCCGACATTTTCTGGTTTAGGAGTTCATAGAACACAAGCTCTCCAGTTTTGTTATCTTATACACAATTTGAAGAAAAAAAGTAGTTCAAAATATTCAAAGATATATTTATGAATATATAATTTTATTTGCATAGTTAAGTGGAAATACTATAAAATTAGTTCTTGAATTAAAATTATTTCTTCTAGATTTTTAAGTTGCTTCAAGCACAGGTCTTTGGATTAATTTCACATTGTTCAGTAATAAGCAGCTATTTTTCGGTCGGTCAGGTGAAGTCACAGTGAGAGGTTGTGTTAACCGGAGCTCCTGAGTGTTGTTATATTATCATAGCAAATATGGAAGTTGTAGTGAAGGACCTGGTGACTCTAGTGGGAGCCCTGAGGACAGAGTTGGACTCTCTGCGGGAGGAGGTGCGTCAGCTTAAAAAACAACGAGAAGTAACGAAGGAGGAGACCAGCAGTAAAGGGACCTCGTCTTGGAGAGTTGCGAAAGACAGGGGCCTTAAGAAGACTTTGATAAAGCCGCCTTCAAACGCCATAGCAACTTCAAATTCATTTGACGTTTTGGAGGACGAGTGCTGTGGAGAGACTGTGGATCGCGCAAAAGGGAAAGCAACGAAGAGAAAGGAAGCGCAGGCCCCTCAGAAAGTAAAGGAAGTACCTAAGCAAACATTAGTTGTGGGAGATTCCCAGATAAGGTATTTGGATAGAACGTTTTGTGCTAGAGATAGGGGGAACAGGTTAAGGGTTTGCTATCCCGGAGCTGGCATTGGTGATATTATAAACAACATGAATGATATTATGGCTGGTAATGGGAACAATCCCATTATTTGCATTAGCGTGGGAGGAAATGATGTTGGTCGAGTCAGGAGTGAGGAACTGATTCAGAGGTATAAAACAGCCATAGAGTTAGTTAGGAGCAAGGGAGGAATCCCGATCATATGTGGCATTCTTCCAAGAAAGGGAGTGGGAAATGAATGGATATCGAGGGCACTTGGTGTCAATTGCCGGCTGGAAAGATATTGCAAATCAAATGCAATATCTTTCATAGACAACTGGGAACACTTCTATGGAAGAAATGAAATGTATGCTCGTGATGGGGTGCATCTATCGAGAGCTGGGGTTGTTGCTGTTGCGAACTCGCTAGAAGAAGTGGTTAGAGGTGTTTGTTTGGGTTTAAACTGTTAGTAGATAGAGGTATGGGAATTGATTTGGAGGAAGGAGGTAATAAAAGTATGTGTTTGTGGGAGAAAGGAATTGGCAAAACGATCAGGGAAAGAGAAGGTCCGCAAAATAACAATTCACTTAGGGTATATTACACTAACAGTAGAAGTCTAAGAAATAAAATTAACGAATTAAATGCTCTTGTCTGCACAGAAAAAATAGATATTATTGCACTTACCGAAACGTGGATGAATGTAGAAAATAGAGAACTATTAGCTGAATATCAAATATATGGATTTAAACTATTTCACACAGATAGATATATTAGACGAGGAGGTGGAGTAGCCATATATGTTAGGGACAATTTGAAATGTAGTCTCAAAGAGGGAATCAAAACAGAGCCACACACAGAAACTATTTGGATTGAATTAAACGAAAAAGCTAATAATATTATAATAGGAGTAATATATAGGCCACCAAATTTAGACAGAATGGAAGCAAAGCATCTATGGGATGAAATATCTAGAGCATCTAGATCTAACAGTATTTATGTCATGGGTGACTTTAATTTTAGCGGAATAAACTGGTTGAACAAAACAGGGAATAGTGAAGCAGAAGATTTTCTAGAATTAATTGACGATTGCTTTCTTACGCAACACATTAAGGAACCAACACGGGAAAATAATATTTTAGATTTAGTGTTAACTAACAGGGAAACGCAAATTAATGACATCGAAATAGGGAGTGAGCTAGGGAGCAGTGATCACAAAGAAATCAGATTTAGCATAGAATGGAATAGACCAGTAGGAGAAAATTCTGTTAAAGTGCCAGATTTTCGAAAAGCTGATTTTAATAGCCTAAGAAATTTTTTGGGTCAAATTGATTGGAAAAGCTTGGGTATGGGGTGTGGGCCGGTCTTGGAGCGAGACATGAACCCAGCGATAGGTGACTTAAATGGGGATTTCGATGTGGATTCAATATATAACTTATTTAAGAATATTCTAAACAAAGCACAGGAACGTAGTATACCATACAAATTGAATAGATCGTATACTAATGACCCAAAGTGGATAACAAAGAATTTGAAGAACCTTATAGGTAAAAAGAGAGCTTGGTACAAAAGGATTAAAAATGGGGAGGTCACTTTAGAACAGGAATTCGTACAACTGGTTAGAAATGTTAAAAAAGAGATAAGGAAAGCAAAAAGAAACTATGAAGTTCGCATAGCAGGGCAAGCAAAGACAAATCCTAAAGGGTTTTTTCAGTTATATCGTACTAAGACTAGGGAAAGGATAGGTCCATTAAAAACTGAGACAGGTCAAATAACAGATAGTGATGAAGAGATGAGTAGTATTTTTAATAAATATTTTGTATCTGTATTTACTAAAGAGGAACTTAACAATATGCCTTCAGCCGAACAAGTCTATGTGGGTGGGGACGAGGACAGGTTGACGAGTTTAGCAGTTACCAGGGAGGATGTTCTTAAACAAATAGTAAAACTCAAACCAAACAAATCCCCAGGGCCGGATGAAGTGTTTGCTAGGGTGCTTAAAGAATGCAAAGAGGAGCTTTGTGACCCACTGTCAACCATATTTAATAAATCAATAGAGTCAGGCAGAGTGCCAGAGTTTTGGAAAGTTGCTAATGTGATACCAGTTTTTAAGAAAGGAGATAGATCACTTGCGTCTAACTATCGACCAATTAGCCTAACGTCTATTGTGGGAAAGTTACTCGAATCTATAATAGCAAATAAAATTCGTCTTCATCTTGAAAAACATAAATTAATAATTGAGTCGCAACATGGTTTTATAAATGGCCGTTCATGTTTAACAAATTTGTTATCTTTTTATTCTAGCATTGTTGAGGCAGTTGATAGTGGTAAGGATTGCGATGTTGTATACCTTGACTTTAGCAAAGCTTTTGATACAGTGCCACATGAAAGACTGATTAAAAAAATAGAGTCTCATGGTATTGGGGGTGCTATATTAAGCTGGATTAGGGCATGGCTATACCAAAGGAAACAGAGAGTTAGTATAAATGGAATCAAGTCAGAGTGGGAAAATGTTGTAAGTGGAGTGCCTCAAGGCTCTGTCCTGGGACCTCTGTTGTTTATAATATATATAAATGATTTAGATTCAGGTTTGAGTAGCAACATTTGCAAATTTGCCGATGATACGAAAATCGGTAGGGAAATTAATTCGGAGGAGGACTCACTATCACTTCAAGTTGATCTAGATAGGGTTTTGAAATGGTCAAAGGATTGGCAGATGCAGTTTAATGCTGATAAATGTAAAGTTCTGAGGTTAGGTAATGATGATAGAGTTACAAGATACGAGCTAGATGGTGTTGTGATTGCGAAGTCGGATTGCGAAAGGGATCTGGGAGTTATGATTAGTAAGAATTTAAAACAAAAGGATCAATGCATAAATGTTCGTAATAAGGCAAATCGGACACTTGGATTTATTAATCGCAGCGTTAGTAACAAGACACCTGGTGTGGTTCTCAAGCTATATCTTGCTCTAGTTAGACCCCATTTAGATTATGCAGTTCAGTTTTGGTCGCCATATTATAGAATGGATATAAATTCACTTGAACGTGTCCAGCGTAGGATGACTAAGTTAATTCCCCAAATTAGAAATCTTTCATATGAAGAAAGATTAACAAAGCTTAAGTTGCATTCACTGGATAGGCGAAGAGTTAGGGGTGACATGATAGAGGTTTACAAGTGGATGAATGGACATAACCGGGGGGATATTAATAGGGTATTAAAAGTATCAACACAGGACAGAACACGAAACAATGGATATAAATTGGATAAGTTTAGATTTAGGAAAGACTTGGGTAAATACTGGTTCAGTAACAGGGTTGTTGATTTGTGGAACCAATTGCCGCGTAACATTGTGGAGGTGGGGTCCCTCGATTGTTTCAAGCACGGGTTGGACAAGTATATGAGTGGGATTGGGTGGTTATAGAATAGGAGCTGCCTCGTATGGGCCAATAGGCCTTCTGCAGTTACCTTTGTTCTTATGTTCTTATGTTCTTATTTAGGCTATGCAACAACCCATGTGCAATATTCAGCCTGTGTTTTTATCAAGAAATGTTCTTCTCCATACAAATGTTGTGATGTTGGAGAACTACTGAAAGCGATTTGAAGTCCTTAGTGAGTTGCACAAGATGGTCGTCCTGTGCCAAATCTGGTGTGGATGCTGAACACAAGATGGATCTTCCTTCCCTTTTATCATCTGGTGTGGATGCTGTGCCACAGCTAAGATCACTGGTAGATGACTGAGTGCTTTGTTAGGCTTCTATAAGTATTTATATGTTTTTATGCAAATTTTATTAGTTGTATATTTATAAATACAACATATCTTATTGTGTAAGACTATGTCTTAATGGTGCATAATAAATTTATTTATGTTATAATTAGAATTGTTTAAAGTTATGTTTAAATATCTAGTTTGTATCTTTCTGTCATTCTGAATCAGTACTAGTGCTTATCACTCATTCATCAGCTGAAGAAGGATCAGGTTATGACAAGTATATGAGTCGGATTGAGTGGTTATAGATAGGAGCTGCCTCGTATGGGCCAATAGGCCTTCTGCAGTTACCTTTGTTCTTATGTTATGAATGGTGAATTTAATTGGGTCAGTTATTTTAAGAGGAATGGGTATTGAAACAGACAGGTGGTATCTGATTGGCTATATGATGAGCCAAGTGGATTGTGAATGGTCCTATGATGAGCCAAGTGGATTGTGAATGGTCCTATGATGAGGCAGGTGATATCTGATCAATGAGGAGATATGGCAAGTGGTATCTGATTGGTTTATGTGATGTCTGATTGGTAAGAAAAAGAAAGGTGGTATCTGATTGGTTATGTGATGAGGCAGGTGGTTTGTGATTGGTCATGGGATGAGGCAGATGTTATCTGATTGCTCAGAACCTGTCCATGCTGGGTCTTCTACCTCACTCATGCCCTCATGCCTAGTGTACATGAATGTAAAATAAAATTATCTATACATTTATTTTTTATTCTTCCTAGTAAGCAGTCTCCGTCCACCCATTTGTGGTGGTGGGTGAATTTAGCCAGGATAGTTTAGGATAGGCAAAGGTTTGGTCATATTTCTACGTTAGTTTTAATTCAAATTAAACAAAATAAAATCATATATAATATAATGGAACCAAATATAATATAGGTAAAAAGAGAGCTTGATACAAAAGGATTAAGAATGGAGAAGTCAGTTTAGAACAAGAATTCGTCCAACTGGTTAGAAATGTTAAAAAAAAAGAGATAAGGAAGGCAAAAAGAAACTATCAGGTTCGCATAGCAGGGCAAGCAAAGACAAATCTTAAAGGTTTTCTTTTCAGTAATATCGAACAAAGATTAGGGAAAGGATAGGAAAAACTGAGACAGGTCAGATAACTGATAATGACGAAGAGATGACTTAATATTTTAAATAAATATTTTATTTGTATTTACTAAAGAAGAACTTATCATTATGCCTTCAGTTAAACAAGTCTATATTGGTAAGGAAGAGGACAGATTAGCTAGTTTACCACTTACCAAGGATTATGTTATTAAACAAATAGTAAAACTCCAGCCAAATAAATCCCCAGAGCCGGACGAAGTGTTTGCCAGTGTGCTTAAAGAATGCAAAGAGGAGCTTTGCGAACCATTGTCTATTTAATAAACCATTAGAGTCAGGCAAAGTGCCAGAGTCGTGGAAGATTGCTAATGTGATACCATTTTTCAAGAAAGGGTCACTAGCGTAAAACTATCTGTCAATTAGCTTAACGTCTATTGTGGGAAAGTTACTTGAATCGACAATTGCAAATACCATTCGTCTTTTCTTGAAAAAACGGAAAATTAATCAATTATTCACAACATGCTTTTACAAATGGCAGTTCATGTTTAACAAATTTGCTATCATTTTATTCCAGCATAGTTGAGGTAGTTGATAGTGGTAAGGATTGTGATTGTTGTGTACCTTGACTTTAGCAAAGCTTTTGATACAGTGCCACATGAAAGACTGATTAAAAAGATTAAAAAGAGGCTCACGGTATTGGGGGTGCTATATTAAGTTGGATTACGGCATGGCTATACCTAAGGAAACAAAAAGTTACTATAAATGGGATTAAATCAGAGTGGGAAAATGTAAGTGGAGTGCCTCAAGGCTCTGTCCTGGTTCCACAAATCAACCCCCCCTCTGTCTTTCCTAAATCTATTCATATACCCATTGTTTCGTGTTCTGTCTTGTGTTGATATATCTATATCAGAGTGCCTCAATACCTCTGTTATTCATAATATATATCTATATAAATATATATCTATATCTTAAATATATATCTATATCTGTTAGTAGAAAGTGGTATGGGAATTGATAGGAAGAAAGGAGATAATAAAAGCATGTGTTGGAGAAACAAATTGGCAAAATGATCAATTTGGGATGACCTGTCCTGGGACCTCTGCTGTTTATAATATATATAAATGATTTAGATTCAGGTTTGAGTAGCAACATTTGCAAATTTGCCGATGATACAAAAATCGGTAGGGAAATTAATACGGAAGAAGACTCACTATCTCTTCAAGTTGATCTAAATAGGGTTTTGAAATGGTCAAAGGATTGGCAGATGCAGTTTAATGCTGATAAATGTAAAGTTCTGAGGCTAGGTAATGATGATAGAGTTACAAGATACGAGCTAGATGGTGTTGAGATTGCGAATTCGGATTGCGAAAGGGATCTGGGAGTTATGATTAGTAAGAATTTAAAACAAAAGGTTCAATGCATGAATGTTCGTAATAAGGCAAATAGGACACTGGGATTTATTAATCGAAGCGTTAGTAACAAGATACCTGGTGTGGTTCTTCAGCTATATCTGGCTTTGGTTAGGCCCCATTTTGATTATGCAGTTCAGTTTTGGTCGCCGTACTATAGAATGGATATAAGTTCACTTGAACGTGTCCAGCGTAGTATGACTAAGTTAATTCCCCAAATTAGAAATCTTTCATATGAAGAAAGATTAACAAAACTTAAATTGCATTCACTTGAAAGGCGAAGAGTTAGGGATGACATAATAGAGGTTTTCAAGTGGGTGAATGGACATAACAAAGGGGATATTAATAGGGTATTAAAAGTATCAACACAGGACAGAACACGAAACAATGGATATAAATTGGATAAGTTTAGATTTAGGAAAGACTTGGGTAAATACTGGTTCGGTATCAGAGTTGCTGATTTGTGGAACCAATTACAGCATAACGTGGTGGAGGTGGGGGTCCCTCGATTGTTTCAAGCGCGGGTTGAACATGTATATGAGTGGGATTGGGTGGTTATAGATAGGAGCTGCCTCGTATGGGCCAATAGGCCTTCTGCAGTTGCCTTTGTTCTTATGTTCTTATGTTATAAGTTTCCTTCATTATTATGTTGTTATAATAACATAAGGATGAAGGTAACTAACTGTAGAAGGTCTATTGGCCCATACGAGGCATCTCCTATTTATAACCACCCAATCTCATTCATATATATGTCTAACCTACGCTTGAAACAATCAAGGGATCCTACGCCTATTATATTACCTGGTAATTGGTTTCAGAAATCGATAACTCTGTTACCGAACCAGTATTTACCCAGGTCTTTCCTAAATCTGATCATATCCCATTTGTGTCCATAGTTTCGTGTTCTATTTTGTGTTGATATATTTAATACCTTATAAACCTTTGTAATATCCCTTTAGATTATGCAGTTCAGTTTTGGTCGCCATATTATAGAATGGATATAAATTCACTTGAACGTGTCCAGCGTAGGATGACTAAGTTAATTCCCCAAATTAGAAATCTTTCATATGAAGAAAGATTAACAAAGCTTAAGTTGCATTCACTGGAAAGGCGAAGAGTTAGGGGTGACATGATAGAGGTTTACAAGGGGATGAATGGACATAACCGGGGGGATATTAATAGGGTATTAAAAGTATCAACACAGGACAGAACACGAAACAATGGGTATAAATTGGATAAGTTTAGATTTAGGAAAGACTTGGGTAAATACTGGTTCAGTAACAGGGTTGTTGATTTGTGGAACCAATTGCCGCGTAACATTGTGGAGGTGGGGTCCCTCGATTGTTTCAAGCACGGGTTGGACAAGTATATGAGTGGGATTGGGTGGTTATAGAATAGGAGCTGCCTCGTATGGGCCAATAGGCCTTCTGCAGTTACCTTTGTTCTTATGTTCTTTGTAAACACATTCATCCACTTATACACCTCAATCATATCACGCATAACTCTTCGCCATTCTATAGAATGTAAGTAAAGTTTTATAATTAAGTTTTTAAAGTTATTTCATAATTTAATTATACATTAAAGTATGAGGTATGCTTATACTCCCGAGACTAATTACACCTGTCCCTCCCACCTCACCTGAACCCTCCCTTAGCCAATATTAGCTCAGAAATGAACCAAGACATCTTGCACAGCCAAAGAGCACTCAACACATCTACCACTTACGGGCGGGTTATTCATGACCTTACAACCTAATCTACATCAGTCAAGATATCGTCTCCGGTGCTTAGTGTCACCAAAGAGTAAAGGTTTAAGGCTATTTATCACGGTAGCATTTGTTGCATTCTAAGATGTGGCTGCATTTGGCTGCGTTTGGCCTGGTCGCCATGGTTGTCCTGGGAGACACAAACATTCAGGTAAGTTGGCTTCCTCGTTGTGTCGAGTTTGTGGGGTTGAAAGCCTGTGCACTCATCTGGATGTGATATTAGGGAGAATAATAGACATTGCTTTTCACCCCCCCCCTCCTCCTTGTAAACGTTCACTCATTACTCCACATAATAATCAGGATTAAGTTTGCCTCTGTATGTATTCTACATTTGCAAATGATTTTTAATTTAATTTGTGTATGAATCTGTATGTATTCTACATATGCAAATAACAATTGAATTTGTGTCCATTGTGTAATAGAGTGGCTAAAATTGAACAGAATGATTTAAGTTGAACCCAACCAATACATATTGGGTTTAAATTTAATTGTCATTGGAAACGATAAGTCACAATAACATGACTGAAGATTTAATGACCAAACACCAGAAAACATTAAATTATTTGTCTTTTCAACAACATAACCATTGTTCAAGTATATTAAACATTCTTTGGGTTGAAAACTTTTAAGGATTATCACTTCACCTCTCTAATTGAATAAACCTAAGAGTATACATGTACACCTGAGAGGTAGGGACCAGCCGTGCGTTGTGGAAAAAATTACCACAACCTTGCAGAGGTTCATCTCACATGTTTATGTACCATGTAACAGATGTGGGGTGTGGATGTTCCCAGGCGGCACCCGGTGCTCAGAGGACTGGACCACCTTGATATTTGGGGTGACGACGCCACCCACACCAACGTAAGTCTGACAATACTCTCTTGCATGCCTTCTCTAAGTGTTTGATAACGAATTAAACATCGTATTTAAGGCGTTGAATAAGCTCGTAACCTTGTATGACCTTTGCAGATTCTGGTTGAGCCGGAAGTGATGCCGTTGGTGCAGCAGTTGCTGGAGGAGTCCCAGATCAACTACTGGGTGGAGGTGGAGGACGTGATGAGTCTGGTGCAGCAGGAGCGCCAGTTCATGAAGGAGGTGAAGAAGAGAACCAGGCGTACCAGAGCAGGTAAGTTAGCGCACTCTGCGCATGTGCCACACTCCCCACCCAGTACCACTCTTCCAAGCTGTAACATCTTGCTCACTTATATTCTATAACATCTGGCAAATCGGGTCTTCAGGTTATCGTAAAAATATTGCAGCTATATCTTAATATTAATTCTTTTTGTCGGGGACAGGCAGCAAACTTACAACAGTTGACTAACTTCTATTACTGCTAAGTGAAAGGAAACGGATTCCCGTTTATGAGACAATAACGGACTTAAATGAACTAGCGTCCTTTCACCTTGTCACCACATTCCAACATTCTTCTTCCAACAAAGGTCAAATACTTCATATTAGGCCTAATATATGAATAAATACCTACTGTGTAGCTATACATAAAGCTCTAATATATATATTAATTGGTATGAGAAACTATTAAAAATGTGTTAAAATTGATGAATGCGTCTTGGTGATCGGCCGCCGCTTTAACAAACTTAGCTTGAGACTTAGCCACTAGTTATTCCAACTACTTGTCTATTCCAAGTGGTTTAAATTGTTTAAATATGATGCTCAAATCACACGTCGTCATTTTTCACATTTTCTGATGTGTGATTTGGTCTTGATATCAAGATCTTGGATTTTATATTTATTTATATAGTCATTAATAACAGAACCCAACCAATTTGCAGAGCATCCGATGGACTGGGATGTTTACCACGACTTAAAGGACATCGATGAGTTCCTGCGATGGTTGAAGAGAGTTGGAGGCGACATGGTGCAGGTGGTATCAGTTGCCACCACGGAGGAGGGCCGTCAGGTCCTCGTGGTAATGCTTACAGACCCGAGCTCCCCACTACCCAAGAAGAAGGTCTGGCTGGAAGCGGGTAAGAGAGAGTAGCCTAATGGACAAAAGTTGGACCCATGAGTAGCCTAATAGTAGAAGTCACCATTGCATCGTCGATCTTTCATAGTTAACACGATTAAGAGTTCTGAAATAATCATTTCTGCATTTGAGTCTCCGTCTTTTTGTTGTTACTGATTTTTTGTGTGTTTCAGGTATCCATGCTCGCGAATGGATCTCTCCAGCCGTCGCCACATACATTCTGAACCTGTTCGCTACGGACAAGTCTTGGAGAGACCTGCTACAGGTGACGGAGTGGTACGTCGTCCCTGTGGCCAACCCGGACGGTTATCAGTATACCTTCACCACTGATAGAGCCAGGTCAGTCAGCCAACACCCTGTACATTAAACATTGGCAGAGTACACACACACGCCAATACACATGAAAACAGTTGTAGGTCACGTTTCACTGGTAATGTTTGTGATTCGCAATGAAGCTAACCAAAATTCGAGATATATTTCCGTAATGAATTATATGAACTAATATAATGACGAAGGGTTTTAATTTGCTACTCTACTAGATTAGGTAGTAGATTACAGTAGATTATGCAAAAATGAACATTATTTCCTTCATATATCTATCTTCTTCTTTTAGGCTCTGGAGAAAGAACCGCGCAAACAATCATTCGGGCTGCATAGGAGTGGATCTGAATCGTAACTGGAACACACACTGGGGCGTCGGTGCGTCAGCCAACCCTTGCAGTGAAACCTACAAAGGCCTCTTTCCTTTCAGTGAACCCGAGACCCAAGGCCTCCAGGCCATGATGAAAGCAACTGACATTGATCTCTTTATTAGTCTCCACAGCTACGGCCAGTCAGTTCTATATCCTTATGGATGGACGAAGAACAGCCCAGCCAACGTTAACCAACTCCAGCACCTGGCTACGATGTTCGTCAATGCTGTGCGCGCTACGTCTCATGAACAAATTAATTATAATATGGGAGGCGCAGCACAACTGTACGGCCTGGCCTCAGGAGCCACAGATGACTGGGCGTATGAGGCGCTCAATGTTTCCTTATCTTATACTATTGAGTTGCCTGACAGAGGGAGATACGGATTCATGCTTTCGGAGAAGCACATCAGTAGTACTGCGGTGGAGACAGCGGAGGGTCTCAAGTGTATGGTGGGCTACATCACCGGCACTGAACACCAATGTGCCAATAATAGAAAAGTATCATGGTATAGTGCATTGTACTCTTTGTTTTGGTAGAAATAATGAATAATTGTTGAGTAATATATATTATTTCTAATCGGCAATTTATATTATTTCTAATACAAATATAAATCGGCAATTTATATTATTATAAATTTATTGTTATTTTATTCAATTGTTTGGACCTTTAAATCCTGTTAACGAATCCAACTTATATAGTTTTTATGCTAAAGTTTCCTTCAAACACAGGTCTTGATGACAGTGTTAGACCACGAAGAAAAAATTGAAATAGGAATTTTAATAATACATCTTCAGCCACGTTATTGTGACTAAATAACTGCCCAGTACTGTACAATGTAAACTATGCTTAATTTACACTTTACGTGTGTCTTATATAACCAGTGCTTTGCTTTGATGTCCAAAGGGAATGGAAAGGATGGGGGAGGTAGAGGGATGGGGAGAAGAAATTCTGGAAGAGGATGCGGGTGTAGAGAGAGAGAGGAGGTTTGAAAGTTCGGTGGCCTGTCCATCATGGGTTGACATTTTTGTATGTGTTGTTTGTTTGCGTTTGTGTTATGTTGGGGTGTCAGTACATTGGCTGGGGGGGCTAGTGTTTGTGACCTTGTTGGTGTCCTAAAGCACTAGAGCCGATGGAGTTGGCTGAAGGAGGCTAATCTTAGAAACTATAACCAGTGTTTAACGATCTTTTAAAGATACTGAAGAATACTGTCACTGTGTGATGTGCTACATCTGTTGTGGAATTTGCGCCTATCAGTGCTCATACCAACAGATGCTGGGCCTTTTATTCCACTGTATACGAATTTATAATAAAATTATTGCTAATACATACAAATGTTTATATTTTCCTACTGGGTTCTTTGATCAGTGAACTAACGTGTCCTAGTCAGCACTAGTTATATGTTGATAAATATTTAGCAGCTAATTGTTAAACATTCGTATATTTTACTTGCTTCCTTCATTCCTGCCAACCCTTTCTGCTCGGTCTCTAACTTTCTAAAGAATTTAGGCTTTATTTTATTTAACTGAAGACTACATTTACAAATTTCCAATCTTGGGGACCACCTATCCCTTGGATCCTGAATAGATGAGAGACGTTATAATTGAAGATAAAAGAGCAGCCACCACTGAATACTTTACGTCAATGACACTAGAGATTAGACAACATCCCACTATCCATACAAATGTTTGAAGCAGGAGTGAATTATGGGATATCCCCCATAACATGCGATATAATCAGGAAAAGCATTGACAAACTGAAAGATTAAAAAGCTCCAGGTGTGGACGGAATTCAATCCAAAGTCATTCCTACAGGTGAACTATGTATCTGAAACTCCTTTCTAGAAAATCTCTGGACCAAGTGATAGTTCCCCTAGACTGGAAATATGCACATGCTACCCCTATTTTCATTAAAAGCAGAAAGAGCTCAGCAAAAGCTACCGTCCGCTCAGTTTGACCTCGCATATCTGCAAGCTCATTTTAATGTAGTAAATGTAGTAAAATCATCTCAACATGTCTTTGTTAAAAATAAATCATGCTTTACAAACCTATTCTCATTTTTGGAAACGGTAACACTGGCTATTCGGGCAGGACTCCCAGTAGATGCGAACACTTCGATTAAGTTTTTGACAAGGTACCATGTGAAAGACTAGCAAGGAAAGTACAAGCACGCGGAATAAATAGTATAAGACTAGAATCGTTAATGGTTGAAACAAAGAAAGCAAAGGGCCGTTCTAAACGGAAAAGAATCTGACTAGAGAAATGTGGTGAGTGGGGGGTATCACACGCTTCCATTTTTGGGACAACCCTTTTGTCATACATCAATGCAACATATGAGAATATTTGTGTGGTCTGGTCAACATACTTCAGCCACGTTATTGTGACTCATCGCCTGCAGATGAGAATATTATAAACTACATCATCAAATTTGCATATGACAGATTTATCATAAAGTTGGAAGTGACAATGCTATTAAGGCCTTACAAAGAGATCTACACGACCTCCAGAAATGTTCAGAAGACTGGCAAATGCTTTTTAATGCATTTGATGTGATGCACATGCAAGGTTTTGCAAATGTAAAATGCACAAAGGTTTTGCAAATGCAAAACCTTGCATGTGCAAATGCAAAACCTTGCATGTGCATCATGCACATGCAAGGTTTTGCATTTGTACATGCAAGGTTTTGCATTTGCAAAACCTTTGTGCATTTTCCATTTGCAAAACCAAGATGCATCACAATTACCAAATCAAGAACTTTACTTTGCAACAGATTGATGAGGAAAAGGACCTTGCAGTCAGAATCCAATAATTACTGGAAGTTGTACACGTGAGGGCTGCAGTAAAAAAAACCATGCAACTAAATCCTAGTAATAAGTCAAGCGAACCTTTGACTTCAAGGAAAAGAAAGTAGTTACACAACTGTATAAATCTCCGGTGCAACAATTCAATAATCACTTGAATTATTGTATCCAAGCAATGAGTACATGTTTTCTCTTTCACAAAGTTGACACATTGTATACTTGACATTTGGGTTTTGAGAAAGCTACCAGATACGTCTATATCCCAGGCGTATTCTAGCCACAGGCTGTCTTTGCATATATCAACAGTGTCATGCCTTGAGATGTCAACATGTGATGTTCAAGCATATCAACAGTGTTATGGTATCCATAGGAATTTTTCAAATCTGTTTTCTTTAGCAGCTAAAACATTCATTCGAATATCACTGACTATTTTATGGGTGTCACTGCTATGTGCGTTCAATGCCAGGAGTGCACTCTGCGAGTCACAGTATATAAGTCCACTGCCTTTGTCTTAAAAATTCAGTGGCAAGGTATATGCCTCCAAGTTCGGTTTGAGTTGTACTTGCCCAGTACTTGCGCTTCATTGCTGTATGTACGAGAGAAGATTGTTCAAATATATTACATGCACATCCGGTACATCGTCCACCTTCTACAGAACCAGTTGGCAGGAACGGTTGAGGGCCACAGGCCTAACAATACTGCAAACTAGACATGACACACATGCGATCCGATCAATTTTGTCAAATGGTCAGATGTAGCACTAACAAGGAGCAACGGGTTCAAGCCACAATGTAGGACAGAAAACAGGAGATGCTTTTCACCCATAGGGTTGTAAACCCGTGGAACTGCCTACCCGCTGAAACCGTAAACGCAAAAGCGGCTGCGTTTTAAAATTCATCTGGAAAAGATCATCAGGGTAAATGGGGGACCTTTGACAAGCTGCCGGCTTCCTGTCCTCATCGAGGCCAATACTAGTATTAGTGGCCCTCAGGTGAAATGACAGGGCTGATTTCATCTAAACTTTCAAAATACTGAATAATTTGGAGGATATTGACCAAGACCACTTCTTTAAGAGGTCAGATGTAACACGATCAAGGAGCAAAGATTTCAAGTTTAACAAGACTCAATTTAGGACAGAAAACAGGAGATGCTTTTTCACCCACAGAGTTATAAACCATGGAACTGCCTACCTGCCGATGCTGTTAATGTCAAAACACTGCCTAATTTGTTTCTATAAAATCACTAACACAAATGAAAAGTACCTTCGACAAGCCGCCAGGTTCCTGTCCTCGTCGTGGCCACTAAAGAGATAGTAGCCCTCAGGTAAATTCAGGTGATTGCAAGCAGGGGAACGCAAGCATCAGCTGTCTGGTGTGGCGAGGGCGTCAGCTGACTGTAGCATCAGCTGAGTAGCGCGTCAGCTGTTTGTGCGGGTGTCTGGGCTGAGTATGTTGTGGTGTAGTATGTTATCCTGGTGTGGTATGTTATCCTGGTGTGGTATGTTATCCTGGTGTGGTATGTTATCCTGGTGTAGTATGTTATCCTGGTGTGGTGAGTGGTGGCTATACCGTGCTGCTCTAGTATTAGTTACGGTGCCGTATTAATATTATACCGCTCAACCGCTCAACTTGCCCGAAACGCATTGCGTAATAGTGGCTTTAGGCATTGTATGTACTAGCTCTATCTATATATCAATCCATTAATGTAACATCACTTGTATGTATGTACCTTACCTGAATAAACATATTTATTTATTTATTTATTATGTTCATAGCTAGTATTATGTTGAGATACAAGACACTCCGTACATTGACAACATCGCACACTAATATTTTGACCACTTCGGACACCAGCTTTAGACGTTTCGCATATGTGTACGTGTTCCATATTAAAACGACAATATAATGCTATTAACAATTAAAATCTTCTATTTAACAGGCATATAGTTATTAAATGAAGTTTATTGATGTAATAGACATAATCCGGAGTTGGTAAGGACGCCGCCCGCCAGCGTAAACACAACACACCCGAATGCCCACAAACACGATACAACGCACAAAACACAACACTTCTGTCAGTTTTTGGATAAACTCCTTTTATATTTATTATGTGAGAGTTATACATGTATAAAATGATAACTATTATAGGTAAGCGCCTAATATTTAATATTAATCAATAAAAAAGAAGTCAGAAGCCACACGCCTGTCTGTACATGTCTTTTGTGTAAAAGTATTTTGGGCGCTCATGTACTTGTGCGCTAGCTGGCGTTCACAACTGTTCTCGCCTACAAGCATTAGAATTAAACAAACATTTATTTTTTCATTTATATACAAGAAGAGAAGGCTACCCTTGAGTCTGTAATATTCATCTGATCACTGGTCTCCCATTTGGTCCTCATTGCTTTATCTTACTATTATTGAATGTCAATAACCGTATTATGCAATTTCAATTTCTTCTATTTCTTTCTTTATTATGCACCCCATACCCATCCCGTGGGCGGTGGTGTAAAGGATTACAGAGGCACATAATCAGTTCAGGAACTGAACCCTCTAGTTCGTTTAGCTAAGCAAATAACAATGTTTGACGCTAGTTACAAAATTATTAATGTTGTATACACATGTACACACACTCATACATATATATATATTTATATATATATATATATATATATATATATATATATATATATATATATATATATATATATATATATATATATATATATATGTATATATATATATATATATATATATATATATATATATATATATATATATATATATATATATATATATATATATATTATACTCTGTAGGGTAAGGCAGGTCCTAGTCAATAACGGCTTTTCCAATGGTTTCATCGAAGACATCATAAGAAGGAAAGTGAAAAGCCATGCAACCTCTGAAGAGACAACTAACACAACACCTATACCCCCTATTAGACTATTTTACAGGAACTTCTTTTCCACAGCTCATAAAACGGAGGAAAGGGTCCTGAAAGATATTGTTAATAGAAACGTTATCCCTACAGACAAAAATCAGAGGATACAACTGACGATTTACTATAAAACCAGAAAAA